GAAGCACAGTGGTAGACCGTGCAAGAACTGGACCCCCGGAGGGGTCAGCCAGGGAGACTGGAACTGGTGCAGGGAGGGGAGTGAGCTCAGTACTGTCACGAAAGAAGCAGCGGGAAGCACCTGAGTCAAGCGTGAAGGTGTGCAAGGCCTCAGCAGGCGCAGTACCGGAGAGCGCAGACTCGCTAGCAGGAGGGGGTGTACCGAAGGGAGTAGCATCGGAAGGCACAGTACTTGAGAGAGCAGACTTGCTGGTACGTAGGGCAGCGGGCTCTATACCTGGGTCAGGCGGCACACACAAGTAACAGTCCCCCTCAGCACTAACAGTCAATGCATACATGGCAGCAATAATAGCATCATAATCAAGAGCAAAGATATCAACACCAGCCCTCATCAGATCAGCCCAGCGGGGGCGCTCAACCTCCTCGCCCATCTCCTCACGCCAAGCGTCGTCAAGGCGGGAGAAGCAGCGGTACTGGGTGTGGAACCTCCCACACTTCTGCCCCTTGCGTTCACCTGTGCGAATGACATAGGAACAGCGACCACTGCCTCCCGACGTCCCACGCTGAGCAAGCCACTCACGGAGCTGCTGGGTCGTCTGAGGACGCTGCTGCTGCTGAGAGGTCTGGCCCGAGCTGGGGCCTACACTCCGACCACCACCGCCGCCACTACCGCCGCTCCGACCGCCACCGCCGCCGCCACCACCGCCACCACTGCCACCGCCGCTGCCACCGCCGCCACCGCTGCCACCACTCCCGCCGCCGCCCCCGCCCCCACCGCTGCCTCCACTCCCACCAGCACTCCCGCCACCGCTCCCTCCAGCACCGCCTCCCCCCCCACCTCCCCCACCCCCTCCCCCCCCAGCGCCACCCCCGCCACCCTTGCCCCCCTTGCCCTTGCCGGTGCGGCGCCTCCCACCAGGAGCAGAAGCAGCGCCAGCAGACTCAGCACCAAGGAGGTCAACAGCAGCAGCAGTAGCGTAGGAGGGAGCGAGGGGAGAGGGAGAACACCCCTCAAAGATGGGGGTGCGAGGAGCGCCACGAGCAGCACCTACAGCTACAATGCTCTTCTCGGCTGCTAGCAGCTTCTCCTCTAGGAGGGCGACTGTGAGCTCAGTGGGACAGCGGGCAAGGAAGTAGTCTCGGACTGAGCTGAGGGTGTCAGGGAGACGGGTGACTATGAAATGGAGCGTCCAGTACAGTGGAGGGGGGTTCTTAGCGCAGAACTCGGTGGGAAGGGCGGCACGCAGGCGAGCGTCACTAGTGCGAAGGTGGGTGATGAGATCGGCGACTGTAGCAAAGGTGGACAGCTCAGGGAACAGGTAAGGCAGCATGAGGCGGCTAAGCTCGGCTGTGGCAGGTGAGGAGTAGCGAGCAACGACAGCGTCGTATAGGGCCTTAGCGGTTTTGCAGTCGCCAAAGTGCTCTAGCTCAGCGAACGGCAGGTGACTGCGAATAGCCAGGCGAGCTGCAGCGTCACGAGTCTGCCACTGGGAACGTACACTAAGCTCGGCTGTGGCAGCAGGAGCAGCGGCAGCACCAGACGCGTAGTCATAGAGGGAGACGTGGTCCGTGCTATTGCTCATAAGATACAACTGCAGGTCGTCGAGCCAGGAAGTGAACTGCACGGGACGGCCCTCAGCATCGAAGGAAAGAACGCGAATAGAGGCCATAGCTCAGGCGTGAGGGCACAGCAGAGCAGCGGCAGCAGCAGAGGGGACGCGCTAGAGCGAAATTAGCAGCCGCAGCAGGAGCAAGCGGCGGTGCACGGGCAGGGAGCAGCAGGCGAGGCGAGCGGCGCACGCGGGTGCATGGGGCCGCGGGGCTGCGCACGTAGGGGAGAAGGGGCGGCCGCGGCAGCAGCAGGGCTGGCGGCGGGCGGGTAGGGCTACGGGCGGGCAGCGCGACGGGCGGGCAGCCGGGCGGGCAGCGCGGCGGACAGCGCGACGGGCGGGCGACGCGGCAGGCAGCGCGACGGGCGGGCAGCGCGGCGGGCGGGCAGCGCGGCGTGCAGCGCGACGGGCGGGCAGCGCGGCGAGCGGGCAGCGCAGCGGGCTGCGCGACTGGCGGGCGACGCGGCAGGCAGCGCGGCGGGCAGTGCGACGGGCGGGCAGCGCGGCGGGCAGCGCGAAGGGCGGGCAGCTAGGGCGCACGAGGGCGCTAACGAGGGGCGCACGAGGGCGCTAACTGGGGCGCGTGAGGGCGCTAACGAGGGGCGCGCGAGGGCGCAGCGAGGGCGCGCGAGGGCGCTAACGAGGGCGCGCGAGGGCGCTAACGAGGGCGCGCGAGGGCGCTAACGAGGGCGCACGAGGGCGCAGCTAGGGCGCAACGAGGGCGCATCGAGGGTAGGGCGCGGGGTAGCGTGGTAACCGCATGCGTGCGACGGTGGGCCCTAAAAAAAAGATCGGTAGGTCCTAGGGACCTCCTGCTCTGAAACCATGTCAAGATTCTAGGCAAGAATGAATGCATTGAAAGGAGAACAAGAAAACCCTAATAGGGTTGTACCCTCTATTATATACCCCACTACAGCCTACCAACACATTATAATTTAACACTTTCTTGAATCCCAATAAATCAAGGGCAACAGTAGGGAGACGGACAGCCAGTAGCAAACCATTTTGGCCCGACTCATGCGAATCACGGACGCTATGAGGATCACTGCACTACACAACATGCAATGCTTGATCACACCAAAAAGGAAAGAAAAGAAAAGTAGTTGTGAGAAATCAAAGGTGGCGTGAAACAACGCCAGCACATGGAATAAGAAAGAACTGATTAGTATTTGTCCTTGACCGTGCACTAGAAATCCTCGCAGAAGATAAATACTGTCATACCGTATGTAAATAGATTATTCTGTGGTGTTCACTGTGCGTTTGAAAGAAAAGATAATGTGACCTGACCGAACGTACGGAACCTAGAGATGTGACGAAACATGTCAATGACATTCTGGCAGCACAATGTCGGACGGACCGAACCACGACGAAAGATGAAACGGCGAATCCCCCGCTGCTACTCCAACAGATTTTTCAACTCCCCTTCACCAGGAACAGTTAGAAAAGTGCCCGAACAGCCCAGCTAGGCTGGAAGGTGGAGCAGAAAGGCCTTGAGTGAGCTGGTGCTAGCGTGGCTTGGTTTCGTTAAGCGCCAGCGAGGCAAGGGCCTTTGTGATTGGTCGTGCGCCAACCCACCCAACGGGTTTGAGTTCCAATCGAACTTCCATCTGCCAGGTACAATTGCTGCTCGGCATTTCCAAACCAGCGGCTGTCATCCCCACAGGTCCGCCAACGACCAGCATTCCACCGCGCATAAGGAAGTGTCTCATGTGAGGGGTCCGTCGAACCTGATCCACGACCAGAATCTATAAGCGGGGTCTGGAGGTTTGGTCCGACGGGCCCAATTGGCGGACCAGTGGTGGACCAGACACGGACTGGTCTGCGTGATGCGTCGTGTCTAGGGCTGTACAGTATATGCGAGATGCAACAGTTGTGACGAAAATTTGACATGTTGAGATCGAGTTACCTTTATCTTCGTCTGGCTGAGAGTCTCCATACCGTTGCGCGCGAACATGACGAGCAACAAGAAATATCGCAAACAAGTATTTAACATTTCGCTGTACGCGGACCAGGCGCGAACAAGACTGGGGTCGGAATAAGGGCCCGTTTTAGTGACATTTGACCGGTATGCGTGGATTTGCCCGCAACCTGGTCCCGGTCCGCTGCTGGTTCACGCGCTGGCCCTTGAGCTAGTCCGGCAGGTCCGAGCCGGATCCACGTAGACTCTGATGTTTGAGACACATTCTAAAGCTCGTTTGCTGCTGCTCTTCCCCCCTTCTCTCACCCCTCACCTTCCCCCAACCAAGCGTCTCCCCCATTTCTGATGTTAAAGCCAGGGTCTCAAGTAAGCAAAGCAGCCATCAACTGCAAAGCAGTTGAAGATAGGTTACCTTGTTAGTGCAGGCGAATTTCTCTTTGGTTGGGTTGGAAACCTTCTCCCGTCAGTGCCTCAAAAGCAATTGCACAACAAGTTTTGAGTACGTGACTTTCGACGAGTCTGGGGCATTTTAGGTTTGGTTCCGAACCAAATTTACAAACCTAGGAGGTTCGGCTACACCTAGCGATTTGGATTCGTTTCGTACCCCTCGCTTCACCCCTCTTCAAACTTCACAACTCGCCAACCAATCACACACAAACTTGCACTGTCGACTGCAAAACACTTGTAGTACATAAGACCCTGGCTTTAATCCCCGCATTCCATCCAATCCTAACCCATCTCATCCCATCTCAATCCATCCCATCCCTATCTCATCCCATCCCATCCCAAACCAGTGCATGCGATTGCTGTCATTTTCCCGCCCGGTTCTTGATGTTTCTGTTTCGCAAGAGGAGATTCTCCAAAGAGCACAAGAATCTCTCAAAATCCTATAAATTGTCTCTTCCCACGTGCAAACTAGCCCGACCATTCTTTCCAAGGCAGCCCTGCCAGGCCAAGTACTGTAGGAGTGGAAAAAATTGCGTACAATCGGAGTACATATTCCCTAACGTGGAGGTATAAAACCAGGTTTTAAATGAAGTTTCTTCTAACAAGCATTTTGTTAGAAAGCCAGCCCACGATGGAATATCATGGAAGTGCTTGTTAGATTACCAGGCCGGCTGTTGCATGAAGACAAATTGAAAAGAACTTAAGAAAATTTCACAAACGAATTCCACACTATCCCATCCCAGAAGCAATAGGATCCACCGGAGCGAGAACCGAATAAAGCACACCCTCTTAACACGGGACCGGTTCGATATCAAACGTATATCCAGCGTTGCAAACGAGCTACTAGGATAATCAAGGTGAAACTTCCGGATACTACGTCAAACGGGCACACCAACATCCCTCATTTACAGAGATGCCACAGCTGACGACAGCTGACGAAGCACTTGCGCTTTGCCACAACAGCGAGCATCGTGCATGGGAATCGTTTCGTCCTTCATTTGTCTCTAGTGCACTCTGGCGGGTAAAATGGCCCCGATCGAATCTCAAGTCGGACTGCACAGCCTGTGGTGAAACCACCGCACCGAGCCACTTTTTATTTTAACCACAGTTGTGTGGTTCCATCCATGGTACTGTACAGTATGGCATCTCTCTCCCCCCTCCGCCTTCCCCCCACGTCCTCCCATCCCTTCCTCTTCGCGTTGTGGTTCCTCCACGCGGTGTTTCCCTTTCCCGCGAGCCGCTCATTACAGCTGGTAGGAAATTTCTACCAGGATGTGAAATCCGCGTGTTACACCCGCATTCAAAAGCTCTCTTTCACCCGTCCCTACTCCCGTACAATTTCAGCTGTCACAATCGCCTTCACTTCACTCCAAGCTGTTGTGTCCAGGACGGAATGATTTACACCATTCATCCGCAGATTCACCTCGCGTCGTCTCATCCGTCCTTGGAGCAACTTCATCTCTCATCCTTGCTCCACGCGGCCGCACCTTGCATAGCATAGCAACTCGTCCCCATAAATAGACAGGATTTCACGCAATCTCGCCGCGACTCGCGAATTGGAGTGCGCAGTCTCGACAGTCTGAGCGCCGTTCCATCTCCAGAATGACGAGGCTTTTCCCGTCAGCGGGTCCCACGGCGGAGCTTTTCAGCTCGTTCACTTTTGACCAGGTCATCGGTGAGGGTCAGTTTGGCCGCGTTTGGCGCTGCGTGCACGTCGCGTCGGGAAGCTGGTTCGCGTGCAAAAAGATCCGCAAATCGCGGCTATCAGCGCACGATCTGGATTCGTTACGGAACGAAGTTGCGAGCATGGAGAGGCTACGCGGGCATCGCCACGTGCTGCAGCTTCTCGCGTTGTTCGAAGACGAAAAAACGGTTTACATGGTAACCGATTTATGCGACGCTGGCGATATGTTCGCGCTCGTAAGTAAGGCGAAAGGCCTTCCGGAGCAAGCTGCGGCTGTGGTTTTCTCGCAAATCGCCGAGGCCGTAAGATGGTGCCACGTGCACGGCATCGTTCACCGGGATATCAAGCCAGAAAACGTCCTTCTCGTTACAAGAACTTCCGATAACGGGAGAAAGCAGCTCGAGGCTTGCTTAGGAGACTTCGGCCTCGCATTACAGATCCCCGAGGGTTTCATGATCCGCGGCGCGGCAGGCAGCGCGCCGTACGAAGCACCCGAGGTCGTTGCATCTGAAGCGTACAGCGTTACAGCTGACGTGTGGTCTCTGGGAGTCCTACTGTACGCCATGCTGTCAGCTAAGCTCCCGTCGTTCCCATCCAATAAGAGAAAGCTGATTCCGGAGGTGGATTTCGCGGTGTCACCATGGCCGTCGATATCTGAGGAGGCGAAGCATCTCATCCGTCGGATGTTGACTGTGGATCCAACCCAACGGCCAAGTATTCAGGAAGTTCTGCAGCATCATTGGATCGCCGGGCGAGTGCCAGCAGCCAATCGGAGACCGACGCGAGTCGTAACACAACTTAGCGAACCCATCAGAAGACAGCCAATCACGAAAACGAAGCAGGCTGCTGTTCCTGTCATTCCTGCATCTCATTGGCTGCTGTCGCCGCTCCTGAAATCGCAAAAAAACTCCCTACAAGCACAGCGTGACTCAAAGGGGCGTGCAAGTCCCGGATCTCAACCCATTCCCAGAAGAAAAACTTTGGATTGGCTCAGTTTTCCCGCTTCTTCCGCCATCCCCGCCACTCCCCACTCCCCATCCTCCACCCTCTCCCCCCACTCCCCCGCCTCCCCCTCTTCTCCGCTCTCGCCCTCTGCGTCCGACACCTTCCCGCTTTCGCCTTCGTCCCCGTCTTCGTCCTCGTCCCCGGAACATCCGCGTCATCGGCGCCACTACAAGCTATCCCCCCTCGCTTCGTGAGGCAGCAGCTCAAAGGATCATCCCTTGGTCTCCACTCTGCGGCCGACACATGTTCCATATGATTATTTTTCTTCTAAAAAGCACTAGCTGGTTATTAGAATAAATAAAAGGGTAGGCTCATGTTATTCATGAGATATAGGCCAACCGTGCTACTAGGGCATCTAGTTGCCCATACATGCGGGCTACACTGCGGACTGCAGTGTCTATGTATATGATCCAGTATTAGTCTATTGTGAACGTATTTTGGTACCAGTAACATTTGAGTGTTACTACCCGTACGATCTTGTGCACGGCACTTTCCAGGCTTGTCTAGGATTAGGAATGCAGACCCATCAGGTGGAGCAGTAACTGTAACACGCAACCCACACAGTTGTTCCCCTCCCAGCTTGTTTTTGGTGCCAGATGTTTCAGAACGGGATTGCAATTCAGAATATCGCTAAAAAGCACGTAAAACCGTCCAGTTGGAAGCTGCGCTCCTGTGTGGAGCTTGTCTGCTAGTGCCACGTGCCATTGTCAAGACGGAGTAACATGGTACTAACCCACCCAGCAAGAGAGTGGGGTGGTGAGCTACAGTTGTTGGGCGGCTGTGTTGAGCTTGTCTGCTAGTGCCAACTGCGCGCGGGTGAGGTTGGCCAGGTACAGCACCAAAAGCACGTCCTGCCGTGGAAGGTGGGCAATGGGGAGAGGAGAGTGAGAAACAGAAAGAGGAATGAGATTTGGAGAGTGAGAAACAGAAAGAGGAATGAGATTTGGAGAGTGAGAAACAGAAAGAGGAATGAGATTTGGAGAGTGAGGTTGGCCAAGTACAGCACCACAAGCACGTCCTGCCGTGGGGGGGATGGGCAGTGGGGAGAGGAGAGAACAGCGAGGAGAGTGAGAATGACGAGAACGACAAGTGGGTGAGAGAGGAGTGAGTGGTAAGTGCGGTTGGCTGGTACAGCAGCAGAAGCACGCACGCAGAGGGGGAAGGACGCCAGTGGCGAGAGGAGAGATGCCATGCCACTCCTGCTACTGTGTCATGCACACCATGCCACACATACCTACCTCACCCCATTCCCCATACGCATGTGCATGTGCCTCTGACCTTCGCCCCTCTCACCTGCACCCCTCTCACGCTCACCTGCATGCTGTCGTTGAAGAGGCGGCCGAATGCCTCACAGTTGATCCGCAGCACTGCAGCCAGAGCTGTTACTGCTGCCATGCCACCGCCGCCACTGCTGCCACTCTCACTTGCTTGGCCCTCTCACCTTCACCCCACTCACCTGCACACTGTTGTTAAAGAGCCGGTCGAAGGCCTCTGTGCTGATGCGCGGCACTGCTGCCACGGCATCCCACAGCGCCCTGCCAACCTCGTTGTCCGCCTCCCTCTTGCCCTCCTGCTCTCATGCACGCACGCAGGGAAGACGCGCGCACACAGGGGGAGATGTGATAGAGAGAGCCAGGGACGCCATCCCAACGCGTGATGAGTCTGTTTTTTAGTCGACTCAAAAACGCACGCACGCAGGGAAGACGCATGCACACAGGGGGAGATGTGATAGAGAGAGCCAGGGACGCCACCCATCCACCACGCCCATACTACAATCTAGGTGACTTTTGAGTCGACTCAAAAGACCCATGCACACAGGGGGAGATGTGATAGAGAGAGCCAGGGGCGCCATCCATCCACCACGCCCATAATACAATCTCACCACGCCCGGTACAAATCAAAACCTCAACACGATTACACCACAACATACCACTCACCACCACATCCGAGGCATATGCTAGCGCGCCATCCACCATGCCCTGCAGTCGCCCCATGGTGGCACCAGTACAATCACACCACGCCCCCAATATAATCACAATCACACAATCCACGCCACTCACCACAACATCAGTCGCATATGCCAGCGCACCATCCACCATGCCCTGCAGCCGCCCCATGGTGGCCTCCAGACCCTCCATGTCCGCTGGTAGGCGCTCCACTGATGTGCGGCGCAGGTTGTCAACTGGAGGGGAGAACAGGCATAAGGGGCTGTAAGTTAAGGAGATCAAGCAGTCAGCAGTCGCCCCATGGTGGCCTCCAACCCCTCCATGTCCGCTGGTAGGCGTTAAACTGACGTGCGGCGCAGGTTGTCAACTGGACGAGGAGAGGGGGAGAGGCAGAGAGGGGGAGAGGCAGAGAAGGGGAGAGTAGGGAAGGGGGAGAGGGATGAGAAGGGAAGGAGGTGTGACAGAAATTGGTCACATGCAATCCTCTCAGCATCCGGCATCCACATGCCCACCTCGACCTCCTGAAACGCCGCCACCAACTGCGAGTGGCCTCAACCCTAGACCCTAAACCCTAAACCCCACATCTACTCAACCTCTTTCTCCCCCATCCCCCTCCTCCCACTCACATCCGATCTTCTCAGCATCAGCCATCCGCATATCCACTTCAATCTCCTGGAACGCCGCCGCCAGCTGCTTCACCTGAAACACCTCAATCTCCCCCCCCCCCCCCCCCCCCCCCCCCCCTTGTTCACTCACATCCGATCTTCTCAGCATCAGCCATCCGCATATCCACTTCAATCTCCTGAAACGCCGCCGCCAGCTGCGAGTCGCCTCAACCCCAACCCCGCCCTAACCCCACATCTCCCCAGCCTCTTTCCCCCCTCTCTCACCCCCCCTCCCCTTCCTACTCACATCCGACCTTCTCAGCATCAACCATCCTCATATCCACTTCTATCTCCTGAAACGCCGCTGCCAGCTGCTTCTCACCGATGAACAGCCACGGGGATACAAACCCTTCCCACCCGCAACCAGTTCAATCGCTCCCCCACTTCACCCCCCGTTTCACTCACATCCGATTTTCTCAGCATCTGCCATCCGCATATCCACCTCAATCTCCTGAAACGCCGCCGCCAGCTGCTTCTCGCCAATGAACAGCGGCGTCGACACGTACGCGCGCACCGCTGACGTGGCGCCGCCTGATTGGCCGGACGCGCCGGCGGCGAGCGACTGGAAGGTGGTGTCGATGGTGAGGTGGATGGGGTGGCCCGCCTCCTTGGTGTAGAAATCGTGGATCAGAACGTCGAATGGGCTGACACCTGAACCGGTAGAGTACCTGAGAACAGGATTGATTGGGTGGGGAACATTCTGGCTTGGGTGGTCTGCCTCCTTCCTTGGTGGATGGGGTGACCCGCCTCCTCCTTGGTGTACAAGTCGTGGATTAGCACGTCTAAGAAACTCACACCCGACCCGATCCCGTAGAGTACCTGAGAGATTGTGGGTGCGAGCATGCGTGTGAGTGCGGGGAAGGCGGTATTAGGAGCAAGCCAACTAAACCGGTAAAAGGAGCAAGCCAACTAATCCTCAGTGTACAAGTCGTGGATGTGGACGTCCACGAAAACTGACGCCCAATCCCGTGGAGCACCTGAGAGAATGTGTAGGTGTGAGTGAGAGTGTGAGTGAGTGAGGGAAAGAGGTGAGTGGAAGAAAGAAACTCACAGAGGGACCCGTGGAGTTCCCAAGGTAATGCGAGGGAGGGGGAATAGGTGGATGGGAGAACGAGGGAGTGTGTGGGGTATGAAGGAGGGAGAGAAAGTGAGAAAACGACGAGGAAAAGAAAGGAAGGCGGGAATAATGGGGGAAAGGGGGCGGGGAAGGGGGGAAAGATTTCCAATTCACCATTGTACAATCACCGTCGTCAGAAGTCAATTCCACCCACCATTCCCACTCCCGCAGCAGCACTCTTGACCGTGACAGCTTAGCATCCTGTGATTGCCCTTGGAGTTGACTCGTTGCTTTGCAAGTGACGGACCCTATAAGCACTTCCCGTTACGCTCACCACCCCACGACGCCTCCCTGGGGTTGGCTCGCTCATGTCTCTCATTATAAGCACCTCCGTTATACTCACCATCCGACGATGGTCTCCTTGGGGTTGACGCGCTGGCTGAGCTCCGCCATGGTGCGATGATACTCGATGTCCAGCGCCACCTGCGGCGGGAATAACGGAGACAGCGAAATAAGGTTCGAGGCGCTTCAAAGCTCCGACATGGTGCGATGATAAACGATGTCCGGCGCTCTCACTCTACCCTCTCGTTTCATTACCAGCCTTTGCTTGGAAACGAACGAGAGCGAGCGGAGAAACGAGAGGGTTTGGGAGGGTTCCTAGGCGAACGGCAAAATCGAGAATTTCGAATGTAGTGGGACCCCGCAATGTGCATGTGGCTATATCGAAGGTTCAGATGCAACCGGTTCGTACCGTGTCACTGATCTCGTTATGAGGGACGGCATACGCGTTACGGATGTCTACAGTGCCGTCGGGATGAACGACTCCTAAAAGCGATCCGATGACGCGCTGCGTGTCTTCGTTGCGGCGAATGAACGAGTCGCAGATGCTGAAGAGCACGGACGGGTGGAGCGTGGCTGACACGGGCGCCGATCCCATGTGGAGATTCAACACGTGCTTCTGCGACGGACCCATGGCTTTTGAACCGTGGACTTTAAAATAAAGAGTTGAAGAATTTGCACGACGAGCGCCTGGAGTCTTTTGCGGCGACCTGATCCGTGCCTAATCTGTGAGGCGGGACGTCGATATAGGAACAACTAGGGTCGTCGCTGCAGCAACATGAGGGCTGGGGGGGAAGAGGAGGAAGGGGGGAGAGCAACGAGTTGAGCCGAGTTTGTGCCCGTGAGAATGGGTACGCAAATCACGAAGTCGAACGAGAGTCACGACTTAGCGAAACACGGTAACAACGCAATTCACGAGTGGGAATTTTCTATCATTTTTGTAAAGTATCACACAGGCAGAGAAACCACGCAATAAATTCGAATCACTCACTGATTCCCTCGTAGAGCACCCCGTGACAAAATTGACGAACCAAGACGGAAACCGTTCAATGTCCGTATTCTCTCTTCCGTCTTTCCGTCTTCCAGTCTGTCCCTAATGGAGTGGAGACTCCAGCTCTCAAAGCTTCGCACTGTTCGACATTGGCATTTTCGGCTGACATCTTACTCATATCACACTACCATTCTAGAAGCGTCCTCGGTTCGAGTCGAGAGCTCTCCTCCTGCACAGCTCCGGCTATTTTTTAAGAGGAAATACCCATTCGCACCATTTTCTTGTTGAAGCGGATGTCGTGTATGCGGACCGTTAGTCTTTCCCCTTCTCCATTTCTCATTGACGTGTCCAGCGATGGACGACTGACGACCACCACGCCGACATCCGTTGCACTCCGTTGTCACGAGATCCAGAATTCACGGCTCCGTCCGACCATCCCGACATTCAACGCGCCGTGCTCTCCAAATTTCAGTCGGAGATTCCCATTACTTCAGCAAGATTCATCGCCGAGGAATTTTTCACCTGACTCAGGTGTTTCCACCCGAGGTGCCTGGAAGAAAACTCATCTACCGCTTCATCTTCCAGCTCCTGAAACTTCGGGTACAACCTGCAGCCAAGCGCGACGGTCGCTGACAAGGATCAAATCCGGATTCAATTTCGGTCCGGGATCTATATTTGATTTTGCCGTTCGCATGGATCGTCGCAATAGGGAGGACGTTCGCGCGCCTTCGAATTCGCATCATGTCTACTATTGGGACGACTGGACGGGTCCCGACGACATGCGAGCCATGTGGGACCTGCCGGGCGTGAGAACGGTGTGGGAGCGGAGGCGAGAAGCATCAGGGAAGGTTCCGTTCCAGATGAAGCGGGTCGGCGACAAGCTCGTGCCTTTCATCGGCCTTGAAGGTGCACGAAATGACGCGCATTCTTTCATTGTGAACTCCCAGATACCTTTTCCCATAGCTGCACGAACTGACGGTCGTTCTTCATCCGAACCCCCCTATGCATTCGACCATAGCTGCACGGGGAAACAATCATTCTCTGTCTATATCCCGTGCCGTCTCCCAGAGCTCCAAGGGGTGACGCTCATTCTCCTGTGCCGCCACTTCAGTGGGCGGGGCAAGCGGTTGTGGCCGACAGGGCTGGCGGGCAGCGAGGGCGACGCCGTGCTGGCGGTGTGCGCGGTGGCGCGCGTGGAGAGCGCGTGGCAGCCCCTTGCGTACCGCTTCGAGCCCCGCCTTGGGGAGGCGAGCACCGGACTCATGCAGGTAAGGGGGGCGGGAGCGGAGTGGCCAGCAAGGGACATGGGGTACCGCGCCTACACACCCGTGCCTTCCATCACTTTCTTCTTCTTCAATCGTTCACGTTCTTCTTCTCGTGCTGCCGTGCTTGTCACTGCAGGTGCTGCAGTCGTCAGCGGAGTGGCTAGCGAGGGACATGGGGTACCGTGCCTACTCCGTAGACTGGTCCTCTTCCATGCTCTACCGCCCCTTCGAGGCCATGTACTATGGCATGGCGTACCTCGCATGGCTCACCACATACAAGGGCACGTGAGTGCTAGACTTTGCATGTTCGGTTGTCATTCGGCGTCCCTTTGCTTGACAGCTCCTTTGAGGGCATGCACCTTCCGCATGGCATACCTCGCATGGCTCACCACTTACAAGGGCACGTGAGTGTGGTGTGGGTGTCTGCATGGTTCTAGGTCTCTCTGGGCCTCCATGCTCTACCACCCCTTCGAGGCCATGTACTATGGCATGGCGTACCTCGCATGGCTCACCATTTATGGGAATGATGTATATTTAAGGGCATGTTAGTGTGGGCAGGGCTGGGCTTTTGCGTGGATCTTCCTATCACTAATCGGCCTTTGGTTGTGCCTCGCACGTATGGATGGCTCTACACCTCTCACAGCGCACACTCATACAAGGAGCACGTCTCTCACCTCCCTCCACATCCCATCCCGTAACAGCACGCGCAGTGAGGAGTATGTGGTGCGTGCATACAATGGCGGGCCGGGTGGGTGGGAGAAGCCATCCACTGCAAGGCACTGGAACAAGTACCTGCAGGCGAAGGAGGTGAGAGGGGGAGCGTGGTGTGTGTTGCGCAGATAGGTAGATGAGGGTAGAGTGGTAAAAGTGAGCTGTTTTAGATGGGTGAGAAATGCCATCCACAGCAAGGCACTAGGGCAAGTACCTGCAGGTGAAAGAGGTGCGTGCAGGACGTTAGCTGAGAGCCGGGCATGGATGATTATGGCTGGTGAAGTTGAGTGTTGCTCCTCAGGGACTGCTGTAGCTCCTAAAATTGGCCATGCCAGGTCACGGCACCAGTCGCTCGGCTTTCAACCAACGAATCGCACTTCTCCGATCTGTTTGTGTGTTGCAGGAGATATTGCGAATGCCACGTGGCGCATCTGTGCCATCTGTTCTGCCCACGTCAGCAGCACCATCTCAATTCCCAACCAGACCCCCCTTCCCGTCCATACCACAACCCACACATCCATCGCACAATCCTGGCACCACTCCCAATCCTTCTCCACCTGCCAATCCTGCCTGGTCTGCTGCTGCAACCACGTCCGCCCCAGGGGGACGCTTCTTGGGCAATCTAGCCGCTGTCAATCGTCCCCAAGCACCCAGCCCAGCCCTCCCACGCACCCCATTTGCACCAGCAGCTCCACAAGCACAATCACCCTTCCAATCAAGCCAGCAAGCACCTTACGCCACAGCCCCACCTGCTGCCTTTCCCTCTGCCTCACAAAACACCTTCGCCTCCACCTCACAAGGCACCTCTCCGCAAGCACCTACTCCCTCTGTAAGGGACCCATCTGGTCCCACGTGGGCCCCACCACCTGTACCGCCTACAGCGGCCTTTCAACCCGCCTACCCCTCTGCCCCACAACCTCCCTACCCCTCTGCCTCACAACCTTCTTATCCGTCTGCCCCACAACCTCCTTACCCCTCTGCCCCTCAACCTTCTTATCCCGCTGCCCCTCAACTTTCCTATTCCTCTCCTCCCCAACCTCCCTACCCTTCTTCCTCCCAAACTTCCTATCCCTCTGTCCCCCAACCTTCCTATCCCGCCCCCTCCCAACCACCCTCTCCCTCTGCCCCCCAACCTTCTTATTTTTCTCCCTCCCAACCACCTTATCCCTCTCCTTCTCAACCCCTCTACCCCTCTCTCCCCCAACCTCCCTATCCCTCTGCTCCTGAACCTCTCTATCCATCCATCGCGCAACCGCCTTACCCCTCTCTCGATGAATTAAAACCGCCAACACAACAACCTCCCTTCAGCATAAATCCGCCACCTGCTGCAGCACCATCACCCTCACAAGCACCCACTCCCTCCAGCAATGATAACCCCCCATTTGCTGCAGCTCCTGCGGCTGAGTCTGTTCCCAAGGGACGGTTCCTGGGCAACCTAGGCGCGCTCAGACCGCAAAAGTGAGGCAGCCAGCCACTTTTAGTTGACTCCGAAGTCCCTCCGGCAGTGATGCTCCGCCTTCTGCTGCGGCCCCTGTGACCGAGTCCACCTCGAAGGGTCAGTTCCTGCGCAGCCTGGGCGCGCTCAGACAGACCGTGTGAGAGAGGCAGTCAGTAATAGACGACTTTGAAGTCTCTTCTGTCGGTGAGGCTCCCCCCCCTGCTGCGGCTCCTGTGACTGAGTTCGCTCCCAAGAGATGGCTCCTTGCAACCTAGGCGCGCTGAAACTGCATGTGAGAGACAGTCGCTCTCACTTTTGTGTCGACGAGTGACAGAAGGTGTGTCGTTGGCAGATTCGGGGCAGAACTGAAGGCGCGCGCGGCCGCTTACTTTGGGTTGTCAACAGGGGCGGGTTAGTGCAGCCAACGTGGGTGCAATCACATAAGAAAAATAGTGGAGATTGGGGATGGGATTGGAGTCTCTCGGAGGATTGTATTGGAGGACTGGTTCGGATCAGATCTGTGCCTCGTATGCTGACATGGGCATGCAGACTCAACTGCAAGCGCAGTGCCAGGCACAGTTATCTGCGTCGACCTGCCTGCGTGGAGGCTCGCTGCAGGTGTTGGGTTCGGTTGGATGCGGCTAGATACAGTTGGCTCAGTTCGAACAGCACGGTTCCGCCTGGCAGGGAAGGGAGGCTGTGGGTTGGTCCCATGGAATGACAGACAGCCAAGCCAACAGGTATGAGCTTGCTGGTACTTATCTGCATATTGCAAGAGGGCATACTGATGTGATGTCTTGCTGACGCTTGTTTCTATTGATGTGACCCCTTTGCAGGAAAATGTTGGGGGAATGTGGCCTGGTTCAAATATGGATTACGCCGTACTGCAGCATGTTCCTTGTATGCTTGTGGGAGTTGATAGTTCCCATGAATAGAGTGTTTTGCATAATGCGTATCTCATTCGCAAAAGCTCATGAGCTTATGGGTTTTCGTTTGCCCAAAATTCGTATTAGGCTGGTTTAGGGTGTTCTGCATATTGCTGGTTTTTGTTTGTACGGCGATGAACACAGACAAATCTCTAGAATTCGAGCTGCGTTTCCCGCCAGGCCAACAGTGAAAGGATTTTTTCCGAATTCCTTATCGGGGTTGACTGCTTCGCGTACCTGCTCCAAACCGCGCTCGTCCGAGTTTTCCCCCAGCTAGGCTAGCCCTACATTAGTCTGCACATTCATTGTATTCTCAGTTGGTTGAATCACAGCCTCGTTATTCGTTCACCTGCGCACTCTCTTTCACAACTCATAACAAACAGCACTACACAGCGCACCACCTCACTCGATAATCCCAATGCGGTGTCACTCCCCCAAAAGAGCCAGAGTCGAGAGTCCTAACCCGGCAATTAGGACATTAGGAAATTGCGTGCGGGATCCCATCGCGACGCGCATTTCCGGCGATGCATGCGACTTCATGCATAGCGTGAACCCCGTCCGCTTAGCTCCCCAATTTCTTCCTTGCACGCTCTCCCAGGCGTGGGATTCCCCTTCACTAGCCACCAGTGCGTGACGGTATGGCGTGCGCTGCGAACCTAATCCGGTTACCGGCTCCCCCATCTCCACCTCTTTCACGCCCTCACAATTCGCTTTCTGTTTCCCCATTACACGCTTCCACGGGCACGAGCGGAATAACGTGCGCTGCGAACCCCTCGCGACGAGCATTTCCGGAAATCCATGCAACGCCATGCCACCGCCCTACTATTCCCCGAATCGCCACGGCAAACGGCGATTCGGCGATCGAGAAATGGCGAAGGGCGATCCGGGTGTTCTTCGAGTCTACTTAATCCGGCGCGTGGGGAGATAGTTTCCCGCCAGACGCGAGTCCACCGACGAGAATAGGGATTCTGTAATTAACTTTCGCGCTAGTAGATCTGAAGTTCCTCTCCTGGAATTAACTTTCGCCCGGAATAGATCTGAAGTTCCTCTCTCAACGGTCACTCCTGAGGCGCGTCAGAACTTTATCCTAACGGTCTCATGGCGAACCAGGGAGGTCGCGTTTACTACTGGGACGACCAGACAAGTCCCGAAGACATGCGAGCCATGTGGGCTGACCCGGGTGTTAAGCCGCTGTGGGAGCAGCGGCGAGACGCTTCCGGGAAAGTTCCCTTCATGATGGAAAAGGTTGGCGACACGAGGGTGCCTTACCTTACTTCTGAAGGTGAGAGATAGAGGAGGCAGAGAGAGCAGAGGAGAGGAGAGGGAGAAGAGGAGGGGAGGAGAGAGGAGAAGAGCGAAGAGATGAGAGGAGAAGAGTTCCGTTTACCAGGTTCCTCCTCGGAGTAGCAGTGGTGGTCCGCGGGTGGTCCCCCCTCTTCCTTCGCTCCGGCACCATCACCACCCCAGAGCTGCTGTGGTGGCGGATGGTGGTGGTGGTGACACGAGACAGCAACATACTCTCGCTTGCACGCTAACACGTGAATTTCAACTTCCGTCCCCTTGCCGCCAAGCCCCCCCCCTCTCTCTCTCTCTCTCTCTCTCTCTCTCTCCCTCTCTCTCTCTCTCTCTCTCTCTCTCTTGCTCAGCTCCTCGGACTGACGCCTATTTTCCATCCGAAATTCCCTTCATATAATGGTTTCAATTCTCGAGCGCCGACACTTCAGCTGGTTCTGAGACGTCTCAAAACTCTTCATCCGATTCCCCCCTCCCTTCCCACCCCCCTCCCACTCCCCCTCTCCACAACGCCTTTCCTCAGAGATGCACGCAGTGGCTTCGATTCTCGAGTCCCGCCACTTCAGCGGGACACGGCTGGCAGAGCTGGCGGGCAGTGAGGGAGACTTGGCGGCGGCGATTGCGCGTGTGGAGAGCGCGTGGCAGCCCCTGGCGCACCGTTACGAGACCAAGCTTGGGGAGGCGAGCACTGGACTCATGCAGGTACGGGGAACTGTTTCGAGCAGGTACTGTCAAGGCCGTGTTACCGTTCTTCATGTTTCCTGTCGGCTGCTGCAGGTGTTGCAGTCAAGCTGCCAGAGGGGAGGCTCACAAAGGCCACAGTAGGCGATTGCATGTGCGCCTTACATAAATCACTTTACCATAGTAATCATGTTATCATACCAATGATGTTACAATAATCATGCCTGTTTGGTTCGCTTGTGCTTCCTGTGCTGCTGTCCTGTGCAGGTGCTGCAGTCAACAGGCTGGAACATGACATGGGGTACCGCGCATACCCACCTGCCTCTTCAATCACTTTCTTCTTCTCCTGCTGCCGTGCTTGTGACTGCAGGTGCTGCAGTCAACAGCAAAGTGGCTGGAGCAGGACATGGGGTACCGCGCTTACACTGTGGATCCGTCCAATCCCTTCCTCTACCGCCCGTTTGAGGCAACGTACTATGGCATGGCGTACCACGCATGGCTCTCCAACTATAAGGGCATGTGAGTGCGCTGTCAGGCCCTGTGTGATGTGTGATGGCTGTGTGCAAGCTCGCGCGTGCGTGCGTGCGTGCGTGCGTGTGTGTGTGTGTGTGTGTGTGCAGTATTGACCGTTTGAAAGATTGTGTGTACGATGGCATGGCATGGCATTCCGCTCATACCTCACCACACCGCGTACAACCGCGCGCGAGTATTGCTGGTATGAACGTGCTTGGCATGTGTGTGCACACTTTCACACACTCGCTCAGAGGAACAACGTGTTTTCGCACTCTCCTCTTCCAACACAGCATGCGCAGTGAGGAGCATGTGGTGCGAGCAGTCAACGGAAGTGCTGGGAGGTGGGACCGTGAAAACGTTTTCAAGTTGAGCAAAATCGTTACCTTGGATAGAGCATACTCACACACATGAAACACGTGTCTTCACTTTACCCCCCTCCTCATACCCCCTCACCCCACACAGCCCGCGCAGTGAGGAGTTTGTGGTGCGAGGTTACAATGGCGGGCCGGGGGGGTGGGAGATTCCGGCTACTGAAAAGTACTGGAGCAAGTACCTGCAGGCGAAACAGGTAAGAGGAGGAGGGAGGAGGAGGGTGGATGGGGTGGGGGTGAGAGGGTGAGGGTTTGGCGTTCCGGATGGGTGCGACTGTGGGAGGTAGCATTCACCCACTGCAAGGTATTGGCGCAAGTACCTGCACGGGAAGGAGGTGAGAGGAGGAGGTGGGGGTGTGGGATGGGGGAATGTATTTGACAGGCTGTCTGCAGCAAGGCACTGGAGCAAGGACCTGCAGGCGAAAGAGGTGAGAGGAGGAAGGGCGGTGTGGGGATAGTGAAGGACGAGGAGAGCATTGGATTGGGAATAAGAGGCGTGGATAGAAAGGGGCAGAAGTGGAAAGGGTAGGGTAGAGTGAGAGGAGCAACCTTCTGGAAAGGAAGAGCTGTACAGTAGTGCTATTCGATATGTCTCGATACATGGATTCTGATTACCAATCTGATCTGATCTTATATTTTGCAGGAAATACTCCCCAGTACATCTGTGCCTTCCCCGGTGGCACGCGCACCAGCACCGTTCAACTCCTCCACCATCCCACTATGTCGCGTGTCCTCTCTGATTTCAACCCTGAACCCTGCCATTCCACAATGCCGCGGGTCCTCCTCAATTCCAAACTTGAACCCCGCCATCCCACAATGCCCCGTGTCCTCCTCGATTCCAACCCTTGAAACCACCATCCCACCCTGTCCTGTGTCCCCCTCTATTCCAAACCCGAGCCCTGTCATCCCACCGTGCCCTGTGCCCTCGATTCCAAGCCTGAGTCCTGTCATCCCACCCTGCCCTGTCTCCTCCTCGATTCCTTTCCTGAACCCCACCATCCCACAATGCCCTGTGTCCTCCTTTATTCCATTCCTGAACCCCACCGTCCCACAATGCCCCGGGTCCTCCTCGATTCCATACCTCAACCCTTCCGCTTCACACTGCTTCCGGTCCTCTTTTTTTTAAGCTCGCTGCCCCATCACCCTCCTCTGGGTGCGCCTTCATACATCCAGAGTATGGCCCCTGGACCTTCCTTGGCTTTACCTTCAAAAGGGGCTCTCCGTTGGGTTTGAAATGAGTGCCTCTGCAGGGCTGAGGCAGTAGAGGGGCAAGTGCCGGTATTTGTCGGAATGAGTGGGCGCTCCATCAGTCTCTGCCACTGAGAGATGCTGTTGCCAGGTGTGTATCCACTGTTACTGTAGCAGTGATATGATCCCTGGTCTGTGTACATAGAGGCAGCTTTTCTTGCTTGTACATAGAGGGAACTTCTCTTGCTTGTTCATGAGGGAACTTTTCATGCTTGTAGATGGAGGGAACTCCTAAGTCATACATAGAGGGTTTTTTTTTTAGATGTACATTGAGTTTTTCTGAGATGTTATTGTGTCGTTGTAATACTGTTTTTCTTAGCAGACAAAATCTTGTGGTCACATTTAAACAGTACCTTCCGCTGCTTTTACACACGATGCCCAACGATTGCACGCGAATTTGGTCTGCCAAGCTAGACAGCCTGCCCAATTGCAAGTTGTACCAGCCAGTTGCACGCACGATACAAGTCTCTATTTTGATCGCAGCCGTTGAACAAACAGCTTATCACGCTGGCATCTGTCCGTTCGTGAGATATTTTGAAGAAGCTGGTTACATCTCTTCACCTGCCCACTACATTCCCGATTTTGCCCGTGGCGAATTTCGGCGAGCAGGCGAAATATTACGCTCACGAAAAACTTAAATGACCAAAACCGCTGTAAAATTCTAACGCGCATCTGGTGCATTATGGACTTTTGGGGCCCACAAGGGCTAACAGAGCATCTGGTGTATTACTTGTGGTGTAACAGAGGCACTGCGCGCGGCAATCTCTTTTTCCGCCAGGCGGTAATTCTAGGGCTGTGGTTGCTACACCCTCGACACGCCCCCTCATGCAGCCTCGTGCATGGCGCCAACCCCGTCCGCTTACCTGCTCCCCCACTCCCCTCTTGCTTGTCACGCTCGCAGGTCCCCCCCCGAGAGCGCCACACCCCCGAACGACACGCCTTCATGCAACCTCGTGCGCAAGGAATCCCGTCCGCTTACCTGCTCCCCCATTCCCCCCTTCCATGTCGTCACGTCACACTCGTAGATCTCCCACTCCCCACCCCTCCCCCACCTCCGCCCGTTGCTTCAAGCGAATGGCGTGCGCATGTGCCATGAGATCGGCGATTGGCGATAACAAAAGAAGCATGGCCGATCCCTCCGCGCCGTTGCGTTCCTTCATCAACATCTCCGGCGATGCGCTGTCCGCAGTGCCATCCGTCCATCGCCAGCCGGTGTCATGCGTCATCGCCATCCGTCGTCGCGAGCGAAACTCATTCCAGATGCCTCGACGACGCGCGCTTCAATGCAAACTCGCATTGCATCGCCGCTCTCCTCGAAATGTTCTGCTGGTCGAATCTCAAGCCTGGCTCACCAATTCCGAAGACGTTCGCGCCAGAAGCTTGCTGCATCATCAGATGTCCTCCTGGAGTTTATCCGCCCCAGTGTGTTTCAAGTCCACTCGCCGAGGCACAACGACCCTTGAGAAGACGGATTCCCGAAAAAAGCGATACCAGCCGGCGAAAATAGATTCTGGAATCAGCTTCCACCCTAATTCTGAAGCTAATCTCAACGGTTAAAGCCGATCTTACACGAGTATTTGCGGAGACTCTCGAGGCGCGTCAGGAGGTTATCCCAACGGCTACATGGATAAACACGGAGATCGCGGACCGATTAATGTCATCTATTGGGACGACTGGACGGATGGCGAAGATATGCGAGCGATGTGGGCTGATCCGAGTGTTAAGGTGCTGTGGGAGCAGAGGCGAGAAGCATCCGGGAAGGTTCCGTTCAAGATGGAGAAAGTCGGTGGCAAGAGCGTGCCTCACGTGGGCCTCGAAGGTAGACATAGAGTAGAGGAGCGAGTGAGGGAGTATGGGAGTGAGGAAGAGAGGAGTTAGTGACGGAGTAAGTCAGACGGGTGATTGAGGGAGTGGGTGAGAACGAGGGTGTGAAAAGAGTTTGAGGGGTGAGTGAGTGTTGGATGGAGCCACGGGAAGGAGTTTCGGGGAAGGATTTATTAGATACTCTTGCTTGCACCATCACTTACAGTGCGCTACATGAGGAGATACTGATGGAAAGATTTGCAAGAGCAATCCCGCACTCTTTTCCTCTGGGCCTTCCTTTGTTTGACTTACTATCAGACACGATCCTCCTCCCCTCTCCCTCGTCACCAACCCCCACTTGCAGAACTTTGCGCGGCGACGTTTATTCTCGTGCGCTGCCACTTGAGCGACCTTTGAGGTGTGTTAGAAGCCCCCCACCTCCCCCCTCCACCGTCCCATGCAGAGATCCACGCAGCAACGCTCGTTCTCCTGCGCCGCCACTTCAGCGGGCGGGGCAAGCGGTTGTGGCCGACAGGGCTGGCGAGCAGCGAAGGCGACGCGGTGCTGGCGGTGTGCGCGGTGGCGCGCGTGGAGAGCGCGTGGCAGCCCCTGGCGTACCGCTTCGAGCCCCGCCTTGGGGAGGCGAGCATTGGACTCATGCAGGTGGGTGGCGTGGCGGGTGCAGCTCGGGCGTTGTGAGAAAGGTGTTGGAACTGGGCTCATGATGGTAAGCCGGTGTGGTGTGGCCGACAGGGCTGGCGGGCTGCGAGGGGAATGTCGTGCTGGCAATGTGTGCTTTAGCGAGGGCGGCGAGTGCGTGGCGGGTGAACATTGACCGTTGCCAGAAAGGTGTTGGAACTGGGCTTATGATGGTAAGGGCGCTTTTGAGTGGCAGCAACATGTTAGGTGGTGGTGTTGGTGGTGGTGGTGGTGTTGGTGGTGGTGGTGGTGGTGGTGGTGGTGGTGGTGGTGGTGGTGGTGGTGGTGGTGGTGGTGGTGGTGGTGGTGGTGGTGGTGGTGGTGGTGGTGGTGGTGGTGGTGGTGGTGGTGGTGGTGGTGGTGGTGGTGGTGGTGGTGGTGGTGGTGGTGGTGGTGGTGGTGGTGGTGGTGGTGGTGGTGGTGGTGGTGGTGGTGGTGGTGGTGGTGGGCGTTGTAACGTACGACTTTTTCTCGCGAATTGTTCCGAGGAGAGAGTGCATGTGCATAGCAGTCCATGGATGTATCGCAGGGCCATTTCCGTGTTCCACTGCATTACATGTGCGCCATGCCATGAGCCAGCAGGATGACCACGGCTGTCAAATGACATCAAGTATCCATCCATGTCCCCCGTGCTGTCTACTGCAGGTGCTGCAGTCGTCAGCGCAGTGGCTAGCAACGGACATGTGGTACCGGGCCTACTCACCTACCTGCTCACCTGCCTCTTCAAACATTTTCTTCTCGTGCTGTCGTGCTTGTGACGGCAGGTGCTTCAGTCATCAGCCGAGTGGCTGGCGAGGGACATGGGATATCGGGCTTATGCTGCTGATGTGGCATCCTCCATGATCCGCCGCCCGTTTGCCGGCCTCTATTATGGCATGGCGTACCTCGCATGGCTCACTACGTACAAGGGCATGTGAGTGCATTGTCACTGGCCTTGGAACAATTGCGGTGATTTGAGACGTCTCAAAACACTCCTTCATACACGTGTCTGCCTGAGTGTTCTGTTTCAGCTTGTGTGGGAATAACAAATTACTTCCACGCACTCGTACCTTCTTCCCCCATCTCGTCCCCCCTCCTAGCAGCACGCAGAGTGGGGAATTTGTGGTGTGCGCATGCCATCGAGGCACTGATCTAAATATCTGCATTCATGCACATACACACATGTGCAAGCCCGCACGCACGCGGCACACATGCATTGTTTCCCCGTCTCGCCCCCGCTTACAACAGCTCTCGCAGTGAGGAGTTTGTGGTGCGCGCATACCACGGAGGGCCGGGGAGGTGGAACAAGGGCCTGCAGCATGGCACTGGAGCAAGTACCGGCAGGCGAAGGAGGTGAGAGAGGGAGGGTGGGGTGTAGGGTGGGGAGAGATGGGGGGGGAAACACCATCTGCAGCAATGCACTAGCGCAAGTACCTGCAGGGGAAGGAGGTGAGAGGGGGAGGGGGGGCCGTAGGCAATAGAGAAGGAAGAGCAGAGTGTTGGAACAGGTTATGTGGGAGAGGAGGCGTGGATAGAGGCGGGCAGGATTGGTTAGGCTACGAGGGAGCAATATCTGACTTCTTTTATGCTTTAATCTTCTACCCATGCTAGATTAAAGGGCCTGCTGCGCAGTTCAAAGGGCTGATCCCAGTGCTCAAAATCTAACCTTTTAGTATGATTGATTTATTCTGCCTTGGAAACTGCTTGAACTTCCGTGCTGCAGGAGATACTCGGCATGCTGCATGGCGCGTCTGCACCATCCCTCCCGTCCACGCCAGCCCCGTCCCTGTCACCACCCGTCCTTCCCCTGATCCCATTGCGATCTGCTCTTGAGGCACCTCAGCTGCAACCTAGCCATGCGTTGGTCGCTCACCCACCACACACACACCTTCCTGTCACGGGTCCCATCACAGCGGGGCCACTTCCTACTTACCCAGCAGCCCTACCGACAGGCCCTCAGGCGACCATTGCAGCAGCTCCGCCAGCAGCCTTCTCACCCACCCCACAAGGCCCTTTCCCCTCGGTCCCTCTAACATCGTTCCCACAGCAAACCCACAACTTTCAGGAAACCCCTTTCTTTCAGCAAACACCCTTCCCACAGCAACCCCCTTTCCCACAAGAACATTCCTTGCCATCGGCAACGCAATCCTCCTTTTCATCATCCCTGCAGTCCTTCTTTCCATCCAGCAGCTCAGAGCGCTCAGGCCACTTCAGCTTGAGGGTCAAGTGGGGCTTTAAGTCGGGTCGGGAATGAGTGGCCCTCAAAGTTTGAGGCAGGCAGAGGGAGAAAGAGGTACGTGCTTGTATCAGGCGGGAGTGAGCCTAGTTTTGAGTCGACTCAAAACAGAGTACGTGCTTGTATCAGGCGGGAGCGAGTGGCGCTTACCATGTCGTTCTCTGCACTCCTTGGATTGAAGTGCATTTCCCTGCCCTGTTAATCCAAATGCCCCGTGTTTGTGTGCAACCATGTTGCTTTCTCTATCTGTACTGCACGATGCTGCTGTCAGGAGTATCTCCACTAGTATAGTGCAGCAATGACAGGATGGCCCCTATCATACGCTGTCAGGAAGGACCTTATGTTGTTGCATTGTACATAGAGCAAAACATATTTTGGTGCACATGACGGAACCTGCGTCACAAAATAGTGGTGTCACTCTGAAAGTACGGTAACTGATCATACGCAAGGAGGGAGCTTGTGGGAACTCCCCTACAGTTGGTGTGAACCAAGAGAATGGACAGTATAAATACAGCCCCCATAAAACAGGAAGAGGCAACTGGAGAAGTGGGGTATCGATCCCCATACCTCTCGCATGCTAAGCGAGCGCTCTACCATCTGAGCTACATCCCCGTGCAGTAAAGAAGAACTGTAAAAATATGTTTTCAATAAAAAACATATCCACCTACACGATTCACCTGCCGAGCAGTTGGATTGCATCTGCCATGGCCAGATCATCACACCGCGCTTTAGTTAGGCTACTCTTCGTTACACTCGCACTATTATCCTCAACTTCTAGGGTCGCTACCGGTCAGGATGCGGAAATCACAGACGATTTACGAACGCCGGGCGATGGCGAAGTTTGGCGAAGCAGCGGCGACACGAAGCATCGTCGCGCGTGAGTAGTCGTGCAGAGCGAGCGAGTGAGATTCTCTCGAAAGGAGCTGCTTTTGAGCAGCACACGACGGTATTCGGACGAAATTAGACAGCTTGACTACGCACAGCGATTATCTAAGTTCCATGTGACATTTGACTACGCATGGTGGCGAACCAGGCGGCCCATGTCATGCCAGGTCTCGGTACGATGTCCATGTATAGATTCAGTGGAGACAGGTGGTGGCGATAGGTATTGAGACAGGTTCAGTCGGAGACAGGAGGTAGGTGTGATTTGACATGTTCTGTTGGTGCTAGCGTGGGAAGAAGGAAATGATGTGGCTGTTGGATTTCTGATCCACGTTGCCGTCAGCAGCTTGAATGCAACGGGAGGCTGGGTACTGAATTCACCGAGAGGACATGCCATGCCGGTGCAATATTATGGCATGGCACGTAAAACATGCCATGACTTGTGATACCGTTTTAAACATTCTGACGTGCTATGCCAGGTCATGCAGGTACAAGGTGATACAGCCAGACACGAATCACATGAAGCTCAAGGTGACTCAGAACCAACTGACCCAATATCCTGTGCTTCCCTCCTTTTGTCATGCCTTTCATGTATGATGTATGTCCCAACTCAATGTGGTGCATGCATGCGTACATGCAATCATGCATGCAGGTACCCGGTGATACAGCCAGATACGAAGCACACCAAGCTCAAAGTGTCTCAAGAGGGTCTCAGCGTTATCAGAAGCATCAAGAATCCCATCGCCATTGTTGCGGTATGTAAGTCTGCCTGTGTGCTTGTTTGTGAACCACCTAGCTGCTTACATGTCATCCGTCCTTACCTCATCAGGCCCATTGAACGTATTCATGACTCAATTGGGGGCCATGCCAATCCACGTGCATCCGGTATGCTTCCAATCGTGTGTCCATCATTGAATGCAATTTTGCGTGCACACATGTGTGCATGTGTTCATGTATGTGTGCATGTGTTCATGTATGTGTGCATGTGTTCATGTATGTGTGCATGTGTTCATGTATGTGTGCATGTGTTCATGTATGTGTGCATGTGTTCATGTATGTGTGCATGTGTTCATGTATGTGTGCATGTGTGCGTGTATGTGTGCATGCTTTGCATGTTGTATCTGCCATCCCATCTCCTCAGGTGATTGGACCTTACAGATCAGGCAAATCTTTTCTGCTTAACCAGTTGCTTACACTCACGTGCGATGAAGGTATGTCTGTCGTCTGTGTCACATCATACTCCAAGGTGACTTTTGAGTGGACTCATCAAAAGTCACCTCGTTACTAAGGTATGTCTGTCCCCTGTTTCACATCATGCTCCATTTCTGTCGAGCCATTCAATTCCATTCCATCCATCTTTCTCCCTCACAATTGCCTCTCTCCCTCACAATTGCCTCTCTCGCCCGCACGCATCTCGCGCCCTTCTCTTGCACTTACCTTTCAGGGTTCGGGGTGGGCCATGCACGTGACACCAAGACCAAGGGTGAGTGACAGGCAATCAAGAAAGGAGAAACACACAGGCTGGACACGTACATGCAACTGAATGCTTCTTGTGCGATTCTTCCTCCCACCTTGGAGATTTCTGGATTCTATCCAATTCACTGAAATTCTTTCATGCTTTGGGATTTTTTTTTCCTCTCTTTTGGAAATTTATTCACCTTGCAGCGTTTTGTTTTTCGTTCTGATTTTCTTTTTTTCAACTCCCGCAAATCTTGGCGTTGGCAGGCATATGGGTGTGGGGCGATCCCATGGAGATGCAGGTGAACGGGCAGACCACATCGGTGCTCTTTCTCGACACCGAGGGCTTTGAGAGCGTCGGCAAGTCCTCCGTTTACGATGACAGGTGTGCGTGCTGCGCTGTGTGTGTTGGTGCGATGTCAGCCTGTTAGGTGGGTGGGTGGGTCAAGCGCCTCTAGTCACCTCTACTTCTGGTTGTACTTTGAATGATGCAAGAAGAGTCCGCTGTCACATATACTGTTCCTTAACTTCTTTCCTACCCTTCCCAACATACTCTCAATCCCAAATTCTCCCACCACCCTCCTCTCCTCGCTCCCCCCTCCCCCCTCCCCTCTCCCTCCCCCCCCTTCCCCCCCTCCCCCAACCTTTCCAGCCTTTCCCCTCTCCTTCCCTTCTCCAATCACTTCTCGTCCTCCTCCATTGGTCCCCTCAATTCCTGTCCTCCGGCTGACTAGTTTCGTTAAGAACCACCTCAGTATGGCCCCTTTTGCACCCGTCTTCCCACTCAGCCCCCCTCTCCTCTCCTCTGCCCCCCGCCTTCCCCACCCCCCTCATCCCCCCCCGCGACCCCATGCTTGGAGTGCAGGATATTTGCCCTCGCTACAGTGTTAAGCTCAGTTCTGATATACAACCTTGCAGAAACGGTGAGTCAGTCGCAGGTTGCCAGGTTATGCTGAGTCAGTCGCACGGTGTGCTGTGTCAGGTACTGACCATGGTGAGTTTAGATGCTGGTGTTACAGCATTTTCCCTGTTGCCAGTATCAAGCCCCACCTGCGCCCACATACCTGCTGCTTTTTGTGTCAACACTTTCTCGTTTGTGTGTGTGTGCTTGGATGTGTGCATGTGCATGATCAACTTGTGCCTGCATGTATGCATGTGTGCTTGAGTGTGTGCATGTGTGCCTGGCTGTGTGCATGTGTCCACATGCATGCACAGGTGAAGGAGGCGGATATAGCCAAGCTGTCCTTCGCCGTTGAGCTGGCAGAGGAGTTCTACGGCAGGTGGGAAATGGGGAAGGGATGAGATGGTGTGGGTGGGGGAAAAGGAAAAGGATGGAGAGGGGGGAGGGTACATACGTACAACAGTGTAGGCGGGGGAGAAAGGGGGGGAGAAAACAAATGGGCAGGTGGGGGTGGTATATTGTTTTTGAGAATTCTAAAAAGCAATTGGTAAAATATAGCTTTCTTCAGGTATGAGTGCAGCCATTTTCCCTTCCTATCCTGTTAAGAGGAGAATTTTGGTGCATTTGAATGTGATGCATTCTCAATTATTTGGAGATGTCGGTTTCTTGAAGTCTTTATTGATTCTGAGTTGAGGTGCCTTTGTTTTTATCTCCATCTTCACTCTCTCTGTGTGTGTGCGCGCGCTTGTGTGTGCGTGCGTGTGTGTGCGCGCGCTTGTGTGTGCGTGCGTGTGTGTGCGCGCGCTTGTGTGTGCGTGCGTGTTTGTGCGTGCGTGTGTGTGTGCGTGCGTGTGTGTGCGTGCGTGTGTGTGTGCGTGTGTGTGTGTGTGCGTGTGTGTGCGTGCGTGCGTGTGCGTGCGTGTGTATGCGTGCGTGTGTGCGCGTGTGTGTGTGTGTGTGTGTGTGTGCGTGCGTGTGTGTGCGTGCGTGTGTGTGCGTGCGTGTGTGTGCGTGTGTGTGTGTGTGCGCGCGCTTGTGCGCGTGCGTGTGTGTGCGTGCGTGTGTGTGCGTGCGTGTGTGTGCGTGCGTGTGTGTGCGTGCATGTGTGTGCGTGCGCGCGCGCGCGTGTGTGTGTGTGCGTGTGTGTGTGTGTGTCGTGGGAGGAGGCGATGGGGCGTGTGGCATGGGAGGGCGCATTCGTTTGTCAACCAACCAACAGAGTAAAGGTGAGGTAGAGTAGAAGATGGGGGGGAGGAAGATGGAAGAGAGTTGGAAGAAAGGTGGAAGAAAGGTGGAAGAAAGGTGGAAGAAAGGTGGAAGAAAGGTGGAAGAAAGGTGGAAGAAAGGTGGAAGAAAGGTGGAAGAAAGGTGGAAGAAAGGTGGAAGAAAGGTGGAAGAAAGGTGGAAGAAAGGTGGAAGAAAGGTGGAAGAAAGGTGGAAGAAAGGTGGAAGAAAGGTGGAAGAAAGGTGGAAGAAAGGTGGAAGAAAGGTGGAAGAAAGGTGGAAGAAAGGTGGAAGAAAGGTGGAAGAAAGGTGGAAGAAAGGTGGAAGAAAGGTGGAAGAAAGGTGGAAGAAAGGTGGAAGAAAGGTGGAAGAAAGGTGGAAGAAAGGTGGA